ATCTGTATATGTGATATTTGGAATAGAATATTAACAGGCATTCATATTCAGTCACGTTTGCAGCGGTTTATTTGTGTTCATATAGCTTCACTGAACAGCATCAGTAAAGGCTTATAGTCTGAAGATGCGCATACCTGGAGAAATATTGATATAGTTTCACATTTACTTCATATTTCTTCAGACAGAATCATAATTTCTATTAATTTTCCACTGATTTAGATGATTTCATTAGCATTACCAGTTCCCAGCTGTCTCTGTTTGTTTCTGCGACCACTGTTCAGACTCAGAGGAAACTCATTGGCTCTTCAAATGTCAATCATAATGCATGATCATATCCTGCCCTGTCTCCTCCTCTTGTGATGTGCTTCCTCTGCTCTTCCATTCTATTCCGTCCACAACAAACCCAGATATACGTTTTTACACATGAAACATGAAAGTAATGAACGCACGATTACGATAGTATCTGATTTGTATGTAATTTTCATGAGAGTTGGGGTATTTTCATAACAATAAAGAATGTGAGAGGTGAAATCCTAATGCAAGTGCAGCGATTACCTGCTTATAAAAGGCAATAAAAAGCATATTTCAACAACATTAAATGACCAAAATCCACATGAGATCGCAAACGGAGGTCAAGACAAACAATCGATGGTGGTTTAAAGTGAGTTTTGAATAAAAACTTTAGGTTATTATTAACCTAATAAATTGACTTATGTAGCTTAATGCTAATGTTAGCTCTAATGCACGGAGGAGCGTCTCGCTGCAGCCTGCGGTGGACATCCAACCCGGCCCACATCCAAGTGTGACGTCACAAACCACGCCCATGTCAAAATAAGTCACATTCTCGTTCATTTTGAAACAGGAAGAAGCATCGATAAGAAGATCATTCGTATTGTTTGCCAACCGCTAAAAAAGAAGTTGTCATTTGGAGTGTCGGTAAGTAAAAAATATCTTTGGTCTTTACCAAGACTTAAAACTTTGACAAATTAAAAAATGTGTGTGTTTCGTTTGTGTGCATATACATAAACAATAGTTCGGCAGGCTTAGTATGTTTTGAACTTTACACATGCACGTTATTACTTAGCTAGCAACAAATATACACACACACAAACTCTCTCTCTCTCACACACACACACACACACACATACATTATATATATATATATATATATATATATATATTGACCCTGGACCACAAAACCATTCATAAGGGTCAATTTTTTGAAATTGAGATTTATACA